GGAAAGCGAGTAGACTTCGGCATAATTTGGATCCCAACTTTTACTCTAAATTGGTGCAATTAATGCAATCAAGATGTTGCTTATTTATCTTCTTTGTTGCTAAATTGGCTAGCCAAATTTCAGATTCCGAAAATTCGTGCATATTTCCCAACAAAATAATGAAAACATCAGTATCAGAGGTTTTTATTAAAGTTCTTGAGCCTGGTGAAATTTGATAAGGATTTAAAAGCTAATTTATGCAGTTGTCTATATTTAACATAACTGGAATCAGTAGATTCTTCGGTGGACCGCTACTCTTTTGTTTGATACACTGCGTAACAATACTGATGGTACGCACTAGTTTAATGTTGAAGTTTCGAGAGGATCTCTGAATCACCAACATTTTCAGCCATATTTTTATTTGTAATGGTAATTTTTCACTTTGAGGGAATATAAGATTAAGTAACTGCCTCCCACATCTTTTTTACGTGCGGTCGCAAAACAGACAAGTGATTTTGCTTGATGTCGATGCTGTTGATGTGGACGGCTCCTGAAACAATTTAAATCATGTTTAATATAAGAATCGCCAAAAAAATATTACAGAGCATAAAAAAATCAATTGATGAAGATTTTTATTTACACGACTAAAAATTGATATTACAGAATTTTTTATAACTGTTTAAAAAAAATGTATATATAAGTTAACTAAATTGTTAAAATCGGACTTTAAAAAGTTAAAAAAATTTATATATGTTATCTGAAAATTACTAAAACTATTTTTGAAACAGATTTTTTTTATGTTAAAATACACCAAAAAAATTAATAATGTTCATCTATCTTTCCACTTCTGAATTTTAACATTATCAAAGTATACCATATGTTCAAGGCTCAAAGGCATTTGATAATTCTGACGTTTTGATGAACTGTCAGTGTACAGTGAACAGTAACTGAACGTTTAATTTCGAATTTATGTGATTGTTAGTGTTGGAAAATGCCAGATACTTATTCAAATTTAGAATAAGAGAATTTTTATGTGTAAATTTGTTTATTTGTTGACATTAAAATTTATATTGTCAATCAAATCACAATCTTTGTACTTAAAATTATTTAAAATAGAGTACAAAATATATCACAGCCTGTTGCTTTCTTCTTTGCAAAAGAGATTTAATTTTAAAACTATCGAGCCTAGTTTTAGATGAGATCTTAGGTATAAGGGTAAAAGTATTTTTTATGATATAAAGGTACCGTAAAAATATTTTTTGTTCTTTTTCAATATGATCAATTTGTGTGGCTTCCAAGAGCATCCATATTTGTGAAACATACTCAAGATGGAGTCTTACTAAGGCATTATATAATCTAATTTTGGTGGTAATCCTAATTTTTTTTGTATTTCTGATTTAAAAACCCAAAGCTTTTATTGCTTTTTTAGTTATGTGTAAGAAATGGTTATTGAACTTCAAATTATACTGAACTCCCAAATCCTTTACCTCATATTCACGATTTAATGTGACATTACAGGTCTTGTTCCTAATGTAAAAAATTAAGAGGCTATGGATCATTACAACTTAAAATATGCATACGTTTGTAAGTGTTAAATAGACAGATAAAAAGTGTTGATTTTTATTTACAACTATAATAAGAACCTATAAAAAAGAGCAATAGAACATTTCATCAAATTTCTATAGGTACACATATTTTTGATACCTGATAATCAATAAACAATATATTTTTTGGAGTAGCAATAGGTTTATTAATACCTAATTCAGAATACCTAACTATTATTTTGTTACAAATACTTATATTATAATATTTATAATTAACATAATAGTTGACATAAATCCTTTAAAAATAATATATTTTGATTTAATTGTTGTATTGATACATGAGCAATTTTCCTTGTAGCGTTGTTTACATTTTGCAGAGAAATATTGTATTCTGCTTTTAGCTAATAAATTATGTACATGTAAATGGGTTGAATGTAGACAATGTTAATGTTTTGCTACTACTGCTGGCTAGGAATGCTGTGCTGTGACACCAACACAAAAAAGGTAGCACAAAGCACTAGAACAGTTTCTATCACTTATACACTTACAATTTACAACCATTCAAGTAACTAGCATGTTGGAAATACTTCACGAAAATATATTAAACATAAATCAGTCGAAAGCAATGTATTTTCTTTTTCCTTTTTAGCTTGATTACTTCTAGTACTCTATTTAATCCAATGTCCTCAAATAAAACAATAAGAATAAAACAAACACTGAAGTGTATTTGGGGTATTTTTGATCTAAATCCACTATCAAAATAACAAATTTTCCGTTTTTAAGGTGTGAATGTATTACAAAAACTACTTCGATAAAATGTAAACAAAAGTTTGTATTTGTGTACGAAATATGGGTTGCCTGCGCATGGTAGCGAGTTTTTAACCGGATTTATGACAAGTGATAGGTTATATCCCGAAAACGTCAGCGCAGTAAAAGCTGCGCGTCTCTTTCCCGCCCAGGGAGTGTCATAGGCCTGGATAGCTATTCACTAAGTCATGGGAGCGCTCCCATGGGAGTGTTCCCATATATTTTGCTCTCTTACTCTTAGGTGGGTATATCGTGCTTACTCACTTTTAGCCCAGGTACATGCATAGTTAGGTCGGAGTAAGCACGATATACCCACCTAAGAGTAAGAGAGCAAAATATATGGGAACACTCCCATGGGAGCGCTCCCATGACTTAGTGAATAGCTACCCTGGTTACACATAATATGATACGTTTTCTATGTTGTTCTCGAAACTACTAATAGATTGCGGTAGTACGAATAAATAAGAGGTGTTTCAAATATGATACATTATGCATTAATGAAAATAAAATATTAGGTATAAGTGAATAATTAAAATAAGCTGTATATATATTTTTTATTTTTTTTTATATTCGTATGAATTGATTAAATGTTAAATACCAGTTTTGAAAAATATTTTCCATTTATGTGTATTTATAAATATATGTTCGTTCACACTCCCCAACTCTATTGGCCATTTGATTTTATGGGAAGCTCAGAAAGAATCCTTTAATGATTTATTATTCGGTAGAATTCTACTTCTTTTAAACCTATATCATAGTTAGTGAAGCTATTGTAACATAGATGTCGCCGAGTGTAGCAAATGTAGCATCAACAATATGTAAGACTCCAAAAAAGGATCAGTTTTTCTTTAACAAAAGTAAAATAAAATGAAGTAAATAAATTTGGAAAAAATGAACGTATAATGCCTAAAATATACTTTTATGATTTGTTTTTAAATGTGAAAAGTCATCAGACTCCGAGTTCATATTTACAAATTTGATTGTCGTAGATGTGTCGCGATGGTTTAATTAGTAAAGGTGCTGAGTGATATACGCGAAAGATCCAAGAACGATCCCTGGTCGAGAGGGACACTCATTTTTCTTAATTTATCAGCTTTTTCAATTTTTATTTGGTTTGTTTTCACTTTGGGGATGTGATGATAAATTCCTTTTAAGTTAATCTACTCGCAGAATTTACTGAAGCTGTTACGTTTAGCTGTCCTGATTTCTTTGTTGTAGATGGTAAGTGCTTCGATGTAACTCTGCAAATCTCCGCTATACTTGGTCCTGTTACAGAGCTTCCGTCAGAATCTGCGTCTGGTCATAGGCATTCTGACTGGTCATTGCCAAGTACGGAAGCATCTCCATATCATGGGGCTGTCAGAATCCGCACTCTGCAGAGGGTGCGAACAAGAAGATGAGACCATCGAGCATATCCTTTACGATTGCCCGACGCTCTCATTTATTAGAAGATTTGTGTTCGGCGAGTATCGGCTAATACCGGCCGATATAAGAGAAGCACCTCTTGGCGACGTTGTCAACTACATTAAATCTGTAGGCTGGCTCACGAGCTAGGATGTGCCTATCATCTTAGGAGGATGCACAATAGGCCTAATGAGGCCTAAGTGCCGTGGGGGTAACCCACCCTTCACACGTTACAGACAGAGATAGAGCTTCTGTACTTAGGATCGTAAGTTTGACAGATGACGGTTCCACCAAGGAGTATCCCTACTAGTTCTATGTATTTGAAAGAGGCAGCTTAATTCATATACCTCAAGTATTGCCCTATTTAGTTTTTCGAGATCGCTTTACAGAGCAGTACCCCTTTTTAGTCTGGATACGTGCTAAATTTTGTTTTAGAATGGTTTCGTATTTGTCTCAGTTTGTTTTTCTAGGATTATTCCTGAGGACCGTCTGAGGAGTGTTGCTCTCTTACTTAGATACAATTATCTTTTGATCAGATAGAGATGGTTCACTCGATACTCTTCAGTTTGTAACTAGATCTTTAATACTTGGTGTACTTAATGTGATATATATCTCACTTTTGCCTTTGTTACAAATGTTGGAGCATTCCCCATATTTTGTAAAATAAGATTCTTATTAAAAATATATTTTAGAAATTGCTCTTTAATTGGTGTCGCCATATGGTGATGTGGGCGTTGGCGTTGCATCTATGCAGTAATGGCAGATTACTTCTCTGACAATAATCCACTAACGTCGATACTTCCGGGTGTGGTACATGCCCATCTCCTGCGAAGTAGTTAGAAAAATAAAGCTTGTTTTTATTTGGTACATCATAAACTCTCATCCACCGTGGCATGTACCTATTCATGATGTATGTAGATCTCTATTCTCAGTAGCACCAAAACAAGTCCAGGGGTTACTACGGGAAGAAGTTAGATTAGGTTGGAAATATAGTACGGATGTTTGTATCGTGAAATCCACACGAATTATTGTTATTCCTGGAATAGATGTATGTTATAAAAACAAGGAAAGGGCTACAACAATATGTTTGTCGAAAAATCCATGATGGTTTTCGGCCGCTATTTAGAATTTTTCTTATATAGAAAAAAAGTCCTCTTCTTTTTACAAGTCTCAAGAACATAGTTATTTTGAATGTTTTAATTTGACAATGATACACAAAAAAATCTTTCGAACTATTAAATTTCACCCATTTATTTTTTATTTCAGATGGATAATTCGGAAAGTGAAAAGTTAGAAATAGCATTAGGCAGTGTAGATTTGTTAAAGTGCGAGAGTGACATTGAGGATGAAGAGGAAGAAATAGCAGATCAGGAAGACTCTCCTAGAAGGAATGGACTTTTTTCGATAATTGAAAATCTAAAATATCACAAAAACCAATTCCATCAAGGTAATTTTTTCTTTACAATGATAATTCAAAACGCCGACGGCTAAATAATAAGGTATAAGCAGGTGCGTACTGGGATGATTTTAGGGTTTAAGAAAATAATGAAGAACGGTATGTTTTTTTTGTTTTTCAGTGAAATAGTAGTTCGCAACTTTTGTTAGTTCAGATGAATACAAAATTTACACATATCAAGCAAAATCTGAAAAGGGAAATACATTTTGTCTATTTTTATAAAACTATCAAATTTCTGTAGGTAGGTCCGTAGGTATATAGATTAAAAAAATTAGGAATAAATCTGGTACCACTGTAAGCTTATTTTAATAACTTTTCTGTTTTTATAAGTAGTCAATTATTTTTTTCTATTGAGAGCTTAAATTAAGATCGCAGTGTCGTTTGTCTGTTGTTGACAATATACCTATTAAAAAGCACATATTATTGCAGTTTCTATTTGTTTTTATATATTTTGTTTTATATTGTCCCTTTTATAGGAAAATAAAGGCGTATTTTTTTAAAATTATATTGTGGCAATTAATTTTCAGTGAACAAAAACTGTAGTACGTACTTTTTAAACACTTTTATTTGAATAGTTTTTGTTTAAAATTTAGGTTATATTCTCATTTGTTTTTTAAGGGGATGTTCTTCGTTTCACACAGCTCATAAAATTAAAAAAAAAACATTCAAATCTGGAATTATTTCTTTAGACAAGAAACAAATACATTTTACTTTTAATATTACAGACATTGCCGATTCCAAGAAGGTAATTGTATTAAAATCGTAAGAAATGACAGACCATTTTGTACACGTTGTAAAAATCACTGTAAACTGTTTAATCAAATCTCATGCGTTGTAGAAAAATAAAATAAAATAAAATAATTTTAAACCAAATGTAGTTTATAAAATTGACTGCAAATACAGTCATTATCTAAAAGCTAAAAATAAGAAAATATTTACAAAGAAAAGTATATTTTTATCAGGTCTTTAGTGGCCAAAATAAGTCTACTTTTATGTATGTGACAGAAAATAGTTACTAAAATTATGTCTTTAATAAAGACAAATATCTCTAAAAATAAAAAAGACCGTTTCTTAAGTTATTACTAATAAAAATTACTCAAATAACAGTAGTAACACTTGTTGAAATCTATTGAATACTGTTACTAACTGCTTGAAATCATTCTCAATGGAAGTAAATAACTTACCATTCTTCAATCAATACATCCGCATTAGAAACAAAACTTTTCATTCAATAGTCATCGTTTGATTAAGGTTCCATGAATTATTAGGTTTTTAGGATTTAGTAGCTTATATCGTATACAGTATGTTAATAGACTCATCTAGCAGAATTATTAGACCCAAGGCTTGGTGTTTTATTTTTCTTAATTTCTTCCTACTCTATTCCAATTTCGCTACATACATTTTTCTTTTTCCACATTTCAAATATTTGAATGTTACACCAATATTTTTGATTTTTTCGCTAACAATTTTACTATAGAAAAAATATTTCATTTCTATTAATTTATTTATATAATTATACAAGTCTAAAGATCATTTTTTGTAACTACTGATAGGTATTTAGCTACTGTTCTTAATATACTATTAAGGGATAAAGGCAGCACTGTCACCAGCCAAAGGGTCCTGAAGTTCAGAAGGAACATCCATTTATCAGTGGCAAATAAAAATAATAAAAAATGTTTATTAAAAGAACAAAAATTATCCCTTAATAGCATAGTCTAGCGGTTCTTGGCAACTAGTTTTAGACTCTTCTAGTCCTAGGGATGGAAACGCCAAGACTTCTCAAATTCTCGAAATATTTCATGACTGGTTTTGGAAAGAGGAGGAGAGATTAATAATAATTAATAAAACAGTAACAATAAGTATAAAATGACTAATAGTCTCAAGAATAAATGAGTCAAATTATATTTAGGGAATAATAATAATATATCCAAATTTTTAATAAAGATTTATGATTTATGACAACTAGATAAATTTCCTATTGAGTTATATAGTTTGGACTTATTAACAACAAAAGTGCACTGGAAACTATAACTACAAAATAACATAAAATATATATAAGATAAATATAATACTCGGGACGAAAGTGTAAAAATTTGTATTTATATGTAAATCAATTAATTATTTCAAAAAATACTTTAAAAGTAAGATAAAGATATTTATCTATAGTTCACAAATCGTTGCACAAAACTTTACTTTATACATTATGGAGAACCTTGCCTTTCGGCAAGAATTTTGGACCTCACTCCTCACTCGAGTCTTTTCTTCTGTCTAGTCTCTTTATTTAAACACAAAATTTACGTGACATTTTTACTTCTTACTTTAAATAATTCTCCAGTTCAATGTAAGCCATTGTCTAGAGCTATAACCTAAATGTTTGTTTTATTTCAATAAGTGCGAATATTAAATTAAAACATTAAAAATATTTTTTTAGAATTTTTGTTAAATTCTTAATATTTTCAAATAATAATGTCACTTATTACCCAAGGCCCAATTACAGGTGTACATAATAGAACAAGAAGAAAATATAAATGTACCATACGAAAAATGTTTAAAAAAAATGTTAAAAAAAATGACAATAAAAAATTAAGGAAAAAAAATGGAATAAGATCATTGTGCAAGATAAATTTAATATTTAATAACAAATAGTTTGGTTTTATATCCACTATAGTTAGACATCAAATTGGAGATATGTTGCTTAAATTGTGTAAGAGAAAAAATAAATCCACAGAGATTATTTGTAGATTCTTCACATCTTTCATTTTCCTGTGATTTTTTAAAGAAGGTAAGTAATCGAAACTTCTTTGTGGATATTGGCCGTACTTTTTCAAATAAGCAAATTTTCATCTGCATAATATGTATAGGTACATTGTGTAATTTGGTCAGTAATACCAAAAAATTTATTTCATTGTAGTGTTTATTGTATTAAGTCCAAAGGTTTTAAGTTTCTATAGTATTTACCTATTGATACTTATATTTTTGTAATTATTTCTTTTTACATAAGTTCCTGCTTTAAAATTGGAATTGCTTGTTAAGCGGTGCCACAATAAATAAATTAAAATTTTAATTTTTAAAATTTTCTTTGTACCGACTCTATTTTGGTCGAATATGTAGTATAACAGTGAATCAAAACTACACTGCAATACTCCAATTTACTTCTAACTAATGAATAATAGACTGACTTCGTAATCGTAATAAATAAAATCTCTAAAAGTTCTATTAATTAAAATACCTAGATTGTTGATTGTACGATTAACAACAGATTGAATGTGCGAGGAAATAGCTATTTGAGTATTAAGAGCGAAAAGTGATACTTTGCCGCTTGAGACAGAAAGTTGGCCGCGCGACGAGTAGCGGAGCGCGGCAATCTATCGAAAGCGGCAACGAACTTTTCGCTTAAAATACACACAAGATTTTTTCTACGATCCCATTATTTTAAGAAATATATATAAAAACTGAAAATTTGTCGTACTTAACCTCTTATGGACCGAATATTGAAATAAGCAAAAAAAATAATTGTTGTGCTGAATATAGTAGAATATTATGTATATAACATTATGTGATAACATTTTCAAAATTTAATTTTTTTTAGAAAAATGTGGGTACGTATCAAATATGATATTGTGGTCATAAATGACTAAACATGAAATTGCCTAAAAAAGTTTCGTTGTTTAGATAAGCACAAATAAATGTGACGTTTTTCACAGTAAACTGATGTTAGGTTACGGCAAATTGGATATTTAAACCGTTGGCGACTTTCTGTGACCATTACAAAATGTCCAACATTATCTCTTCTTATTATCGATGGTGGAATTGGTTTTCCAGGTCCTCGTTTCTTCTTTTCTTCAAATTGTTGCTGAATTCTGTCACCTGATGGCTTTCCTCTTTGGCTGTTTCTGATTTGAATATAAGCAAATCATCCACTTAATTTTTCCTAAAAGAACGTGTCTCACAATCTCGCTTGTAGAGTAGCCAACTATTCACAACACACACATCTATGAAGTGAAAGAAAAAGCGTAAATAGTATTTTTTGCATCTTATTGATATGCGATAGTATTAGATAAGACCATCCAGCAAATCTACACCACCCATGAACTTATTGTACATTGAAATAATTTCTGGATAAGGTACCATGACATGTTGTTTGGTTTTTATAAAATCTCTGTATGAGTGTTGTAGGATAAGCTGAAGAAAAATCTCTGTATGAGTGTTCTAGGATGAACTAAAGAAAACGAAGACACTAAAGCAACTGGCAAACCATTTCACAACCCTCATTTTACATCCTTCAATATCAGCCTCTTTTTCATCAAAGTTTCCGCGACCTCTTTCCTTCATTTCTTTGAATCTTGGAAGTCAAATAGTTCCAAGACAGTAAATTCCAACTTTCTAAAGCAGAACAAATAATTTTGGGGATAAAGACCAGTTGTCAAAGAACAAATAATGATTTTTTGGGATTATTTCAGTTTTAAAACTACATTAGAACTTGCACCGATATGAGGAAAATTTGAACTTGGATCTATCCTGCCTGTGTAAATGTCAAACTGGTAGATGATTTATTTTACATCGCATAAAACAAAAATCTTATGGGGCCTTTTGGGGTTGTATTGTTTTGAAGAACGTCGACCTTTGAAGGGCACTATTTGTTCATCTACACATAAGTTCTGTTGCATAGGTATTTTGTAGAATTTTCTTTTCAAATTTTCAATAAAAGGTCTAATCTTATAAAGACGATCTATGTTGTTTATATTGATTTAATCATTATTATTCATGTGCAGTGATGCTTTTATTTGCAAAATGCGATTTCTGCTCATAATGTCTGCAACTTTAGGTATTCTTGTGGAGTGTGACCAGTATATCTTAGTTCTTGGTAAGTTATATATCGACATATACATACATACATATGCCAACAAACTGGTCCATCTCATTTTTTTGTAACAGACAAAGGCTTATTACGATCTTTCTGGATAGCATACAGGTTTGATTGATCTACGAGG